CGCCTCCTCCTCGCACCTCCCAGCCCCCAGTTTCTCCCGGCCCTCTGGTCTTTCCCAACTTCCGGAAAGGCAACTGCGCAAGGGCTCCCCCACAGCGGCTGTGTCGGCCCCCCGCAACGTGGCCCAACTTCCCGGGATTTCCAGCCGCGGTCCTCCCAACTCCCGCCCGCTGTTCTGCATCCCTTCCCCTCGGTCCTCTCCCCATCCATCTCTACGCACACAGGGCTCTCTCACCCCCCACCTCGCCTCTTCCCTGGACCCCCACCACCTGGATAGTACGCTGGCCCCTGAGACTGGGACCCGCCGAAACTCCGGGACTGTCCAGAATGAGGCTGCAGTCGACACCCCTTGATTACACATACACCCTCACAGACACAAACCGGGCGCAGGCAGACACCGCGTCCACTCTAACAGGCTGGCGGCGTTGCGCACACCGGCTCGCCTGGCCCCATATTCCCCTACGCCCTCTCGCAGTGACACCGACACAGTGCCAGGTGCAAACGAAGCGACACACGCTTGACAGCACCCAACCACGGTCACACTCGGCTTTGGGCCGGCCTCTCTGATCTTGCCCAGCCAACTTGGAGAGCCCTCAGCCCTGTGCGCCCCCCTGGCTGCTCCGAGCTGCGCCCGAAGGGCCCTCGCTGGACGCGGGTCTCACGACGCCCTCATCTTGGCGCCCCGTGCAGCCGCAGCCCCGAGTGTGGGCAGAGGCCGCGGGGCCCCGTGCGGACCCAGGCGCCCCCGGGAGCGTGGCGCGGCCCGTGCATAGCTCCTCCGCGGGGCGGCGCGAAGCAGCCCTTCGGGGAGCATCGCCCGCCAGGCCCCTCGGCCCGGGGAGCTGCCAAGTTTGCTCACCGCGCACCCCCAGCTCTGCTGGGGCCCCCGCCCAGCCCCGGCCCGGCCGCCCGCCTGCCCGCCACTCTCACCGATGTGGATGATGGAGTCGGCCCGCACCGTAACACACTGGCAGATCCAAGGGAGAAGCCACAGCGTCAGCGCTTCCATGTCCCCCGGGCGCGCGGCTCATCCGCCCGGGCCCGGGGCGAGGCCGAGGGCAGCGCGGAGCGGGCAGGCGCCGGTCCGGTGCAGCCCCGGGCCGCTCCCGGGAGAGCCGAGCCCGCCGTGCGTCTCCCCCGCGCGCCCTGCGCCCGCCCCGGCGCAGCCTAGCCCAGCCCCGCGCGCTGGGCTCCCGCGCCGGCTCCGGGGGCGCCTGCGACCCGAGCGCAGGCCGGCGCGGCGGGGGCGGCTCAGGGGGGGACGGCGGCGGCGGCCAGGCTCTTGGTGCGTCTGAGCCCCGGCGCGGAGCGAACTGCGGAGGACGCCCCCTCCCCTCCCCCTCGCCTGCTCCCCCGCCCGCGCCTCCTCCCCGCGCCCGCTCCACCACGTGACTGCGGAGCTCAACCTCGCCGCGCGCTGTCCGCCGCCCGCCGCTCGGAGGGGCTTGGGGCCGCCTCGCCCGGCCTGGGGGACGCTCAGAGGCGGTGAGCGCTGGGCACCGGCGGGCCGCGGAGTCGAGGCGGGCGGCGGGGCCTAACGGCCAGGCGCGCCGGGGCGGGGATGACGGAGCGCGCGCCCTCGGGGGTGTCGGGGCGCCCAGAGTCATGCTTGGCCAGATTCCGCCCTGGGGGCCCGGAGAGAGACAGGGCTGGGCGCCGAGCAGGGCTCAAACCTGGGCCTGTAGTTCGGGGACCGGGCGCGCCCATCCCCCGCCCGCGGGCGGCGCACTCAGCGAAGCCGGGTGGGAGCCTCGGGCTCTGAAGCCCAATTCATGGCCGGAAGCTGGCGCGGCCGTGACCGCGGGCCTGGACGTGAGGAGCCTCCCAAGCGGCCGGGGCGCAGACGCGGGCCCTGTGGAGCCCGCCCGGCCCAGAGCGCGCTGCAGCGGCCACAGCCAGGGGTCTCCGTCGCCGCCGCGGGCATAGGGGTCCGGGCCTGGGGCGCCCAGCACCCTCTACCAGTGCGGCCGGACCGGGCTCCCCCAGGACACACCCAGGATTTCGGGGAGACCGCGGAACCGGGCTAGGCAAGTCTGGAGCGCCTCGTGCGGGAGTGCGCAGGGTGCGAGAGACCTGGAGAGGTTCGGCCTCGGCCTTGCCCCGCGTGCCCAGAACAGGTCGTGAACAGTCGTGGGGGGAAGAGGGATGAGCTGGACCCTTGCCTCAGCCAGCGGGAAAGGGCCAGAGCGGGCTTCCTGGAGGAGGTGACAGTTCCACAGGCTGAGTGCAGGTGACCAAGGAAGGAAGACGCAGGCGCTGACCTCCGGTGAGTGAGCTGAGGCTGGGAGAAGAAAGGAGGGAGTGTGCCTGTGCGTGTGTGTGTGTGTGTGTGTGTGTGTGTGTGTGTGCGCTCACGTGCCTCGAGCTGCCGGCCCAGGAGATCACTGGGGAGGAGGCTATGGGGAGGAGCCCAGTAGAGAAACAGAGAAAGCAGGGTGCCCCGCCGATCACAGGGAGCCTGGGGCCGAGGAGAAACCCGGCTGCAGAAATGTGGGGGGACCCATGAGCAGAGGAAAAGGCCCAAGGCCAGAAGACAGGAATGAGCTCGGCCCAGCGGGGCGGTGTGGCCTCTGCACAAGGGCACTTCCTCAAGAAACCTATCCTAACCCTGCACCCCCCGGGGAGGCTGAGGCAGGAGGATCTCAAGTTGGAGCCCAACCTGGGCAACTTGGCAACTTAGTGAGACTTTGTTTCAAAATAGAAAATAAAAAGACTTGAGGATGTAGCTCTGTGCAAAGGTCCTGAGTTCAATCCCCAGAACTGAAAGGAAAAAAAAGAAAAAGAAGAAAGAAAAGAAAGGAAGCTGCCATGGATCCTTGAATGGTAAAACAGGCTCACTCTCCTGCTCCCCCTGCCTTCATTTCTCCTTCCTGCAGACACCTGTGCCTTAGAAGGATGGCGTTCCAGGCACCCTAGGGACTCAAACCTGGGGCCAAGGGCCACGAAGTCGGGGCCCCCTGAGGGTCTCCTCCCCTGGGGCCTTGCAAGGTGTAGACAGACCAGGCAGGGGATCGCCTAGCCGGGAGGGCGTGGGCCAAGCCTCAAGACCCTCTTCCAAGGAGGAGGAAGATGATGCAGCCCTTTGGGGGTGATTTCCATGATGTCCTAGAGTGGCTGATGAGGTCACTGCAGCTCTGGACCTGGGAGTCGCTGTCAGGGGCTCCCCTCCAGCTCCCCAGTGTGGGTTGATCGGAACCCCCAAAAGCCCAACCCCTCACGCTGACCCTCAGAACCTTCTGGCCTGGTTGTTAGAGGCTGTGCAGTGGCTCCTGCCCAGAGACAACAAGGACCCGGGCAGACCCCTCAGGTGACAGCCTTACCCTCTCCGCCGCCTCTAGGGGACTCCAGGTGCGTCAGCCCAGCCTCCGAACCTCTGATAATCTCAGGGGCTACAAAACCTCCTTCCCCAATGCCCCCCAGAACAAGGAGAAGCGACTCTGCTTGATGAAGGGCTTGTGGGTGGAGAGGGTGGAGCAGTCTGTGGGGGATGACACAAGCCCATTCAGCAGTGGGGAAGACTGAGGCTGGGGAGAGGCATGGCTTGCCCAGGCCTCCTGAGTTGTGAGGCCAGAGGCCTCTGGGTTTGCCCCAAGTGCACAAAGCCTGACCGAGGGTTCTCTGCAGAGCTCGCCCTGCAGCCAGGGACAGCCTGTTTTCAAGAGGTCCGAACTGCCGGAACAGCATTTCCTCACACCTAGCCCTCAACAAACCTCTCCTAGAGCTCCCACTTGACACCAAGGAAACACCATGCTGTGGCCCTGTGGGAAGAACCTGGTGGCAGTGCCGGAAGGAGCCCGAGAGCCAGGCCCAGCCTGATACATGGCTCCCAGGAACCCGCCCTCTGCCAGGCCCTGTGCCCAAGGCCCTGCTGACACCATCCTCTGTCTTTTTCTCCAGCGCTCTTATTTATGGCCACTTCCTCTGCTCACTCTGTGGCTGCTCGGCCCTCTGCTGAATGCTAATTGCCGGCTCTATCCAGCCCCTCTCCAGGCTCTCCCCGCTAGGCGTCAGTGTTTTATCAGCAGATATTTACTTGATCTGCTTTTATGTTACTGTACGTTTTGTTTATTTCCCCTCGTGCTGGCCCTCTTGGGTTTTCGCGTTTACACTTCCCAGCCCAGAGATCACTGTGTTGCTGTCTGTCCTGGGCAGCCTCCATTTGTTTCCAGAGGGCAGGGGTGCAGGCAGAAACATGGGCTGACAGTGGCCTCTGTGCTGCTTGCTGAGCCCCCGGGGCCAGGACCCCTGGGAAGCCCCAGCCCTACCTAAGGCACTGCCAATGTGGGAAGGGCCACCCTGCGACACACACAAGGGCAGGTCCCCTCTATCACTCTTGCACAGTCAGGACACGGGCTCAGGACAGGTGCTCAGTGTGCTTAAAACCAACCAGTCCTAGCCAGGTGTGGTGGTACCTGGCTGTAACCCCGGAGCTCTGGGAGGCTGAGGCAGGAGGACCTCCACTTCAAGCTCAGCTTGGGCAACTTGGTAACTTCATGAGATCCTGCCTCAAAATAAAAACTAAATAAAAGGTTAGAGATGGATGTAGCTCGGTGCAAAGGCCCTAGTACCTAGTTCAATCCCCAGTACAGCAAAAAATAAAAAACAACAACAAAAAAAACCCCACATAGACCAAAAAGCTACCATTGAGAAAAAACTGTTTCCTTCACAAAAGCTGCCAAAACCACAGCGATGCATTCCCTGGACCCAGGCTGTTCGGACAGGGCCCTTGGGCACTGTGCTGCAGCCATGCAGGGACCCCCTGGTCTGGTGTACCCACCAAGGCCCAGTCCTCCCTTGGAGCCTCTGAAGGTGGCTGGGCCAACCAGGGCTCACACAGGTATTTCAGATGCCAAGAGCAGGCCACCAGGATGTGTGGCTCCGGCCCAGGAGCATCTGGGCTCGCGGTGCAGGGCAGAAGTTCCCGCTCTGCCTTTCAGATGTGTGAGCCCGCTGGGCCCTGGGCTCCCAGCCTCTAGGCCTGCAGCTTCTCCTCTCCCCTCCATCCCCAACTGCTGGGACCTGGTGGCAGGACGTGAACCCTGGCCTGGCTGTCCCCAGAGCCTCCAATACCTGGCGCCTGCTGTGGGGGTCCCAGGGCACCGCACAGGTCAGTGAAGACCCTAAACCAAGTTCAGGAAAGGGGTGCACTCTCAGGCACGAGGAAAGCATCAGTGGGGATACTGGAGATAGACAGAGAGAGACAGAGGCCAGACACGCTCCTCCCTGGTGCATCTCTAGGACAGCAGCCCTGGCAGCCCCGTGACGGCCGAGCACCCAGCAACTGTGGTGTCTTCCAGAGGCGTCTCCAGAAGCAGAGGGCCCCTAACCCAGCCGAGAATCCAAGCAGGAGCCAGAGGCCTTTGTAACCCGGCCACCAGGGAGCTCATGAGAGATGGTTCCATCCCAGTCAGCCAAGGCCCTGAGCCCCCAGAGGAGGGGGAGGGGACAGGCACTGCCTGCACTCCAGGTCCCTGAGGGATGGCCCTGGCCCTCGCAGCCCTGAACACCCCACTCCCAGCCCCAGACTGGGTTCATGCCCATTAACCTCTCCTCTTCCGGGGATGAAAGGAGGAGGGATTGTTCATCACTGCCTGGGGACCTGAAAGGAGGGTGCTGTCCCCCCAGGACGCCCCCTGGGACCCAGCTTGGTAGGAGCTGCCTGGCAGGAGACACCACTGTCCTGGAGCCACTGCTGGGGCACTAGGCAGCCTGGGAAAAGGTCCTGCCTTCCCGGAAGTCGCAGAGTGGGCCAGGGTTTCTTGTGGGGAAATTGGAGGCAGAGGAGGAGACCTGGAAAGGAGGGATCTTCATGTACCAGACACATGCCAAGGACCCAGGTTTGCTGCAGGGACAGTAGGGCAGGAAGAGGAGGGACAGGGTCAGCAGGTCACAGGCCCGCAGGCCACACTGTCCCAGGTCCTCTTCGAGGGACAGATCAGTGACAAAGGTGGGGTGCCCGCCCTCCTTTTGCCTCTGCCTGCCTGTTGGTGACCCCATAAGACATCCTGACCTATTCTTATCTCCACTCTACACATGGGGCCATTGAGGCTTAGAGCAGTGCCGTCACCAGGAGCTCACAGCAGGGACACACTCCTTCATCCCCCCGCCAGAGCCTGTA